GTTCTATTTGAGCCTGTAGCAGTATGGACAACCGGTCTCTCCATGTCATATCGTGAGAATAAATTCGGCATATGGGCGTTGGTTGTGAGACAGCCTCCCTCCCCTCCTCCGCTTAGAGCACTTCTGAAGTGCGGTGCAGTGCAAGTACAAAAGTCCCTGCACTTTTGCACAATACAACACTGCGTTTGTGAATCTGCGCGAAAAGAACGACTGGGGGAATAACTGAAAACAAAAAACACTGTGCCGTCGACGGAACAGTTGGAACTGTGCCAAGAAACTGCGTGCCAGCTCCCTTCCTGTGACGTATCTCGGGCCTTTAGCGGCGAGGGCGAGGTCCGCGCCAGTCGCGTGCCCCCGTTGGCCGTGACCTGGAGCTCTCACCCGGCAGCGCCGCTCGGAGGCTCAGGCCTGTCGGCCGGCCGCGGTAACTTTGAACCCCTACGGTGGCGGTGCCCCCGCCCCCCCCCCCCCCCCGCCGGGGCCGGCGCCGCCGTCGGAGGGCCGCGCGTCGCTCCGGCCGGCGGGTTCTAGTTACGGCACCGCGCGCGAGGGCACGAAGGAGTGCTGGGTTGGCCGAGGCCGAGGGCTGGCGGCAGGTGGTTGTGACGGAACGTGCAGTTGGCGGCGACAGCACAGGGAATGAGAGAGGGCGGACTTCGTGGGATTCCCCGAGTGGACGGTGACAGCACAGGGGATGAGAGAAGGTGGACTTCGAGAGATGCCCTGAGTTGACGGTGACTCGACGGGGGATGAGAGAGGGCGGACTTCGAGGGATGCCCCGAGTCGACGGTGACACGACAGAGGATGAGAGAGGGCGGACTTCGAGAGATGCCCCTAGTCGACGGTGACAGCACAGGGGATGAGAGAGGGCGGACTTCGAGAGATGCCCCGAGTGGACGGTGACACGACAGGGGATGAGAGAGGGCGGACTTCGAGAGATGCCCTGAGTCGACGGTGACAGCACAGGGGATGAGAGAGGGCGGACTTCGAGAGATGCCCCGAGTGGACGGTGACACGACAGGGGATGAGAGAGGGCGGACTTTGAGAGATGCGTTGAGTTGTAGGTTACCGGTGTGGTGGCCGCGGCCACGCACGGTCGACACGGGAGACAGTCACGGTGGGTTTCCTATCGCTGGCCCAAGAAGCGATCCTTAAATGATCTGTCGACGGACGTGGCTTGCGTGGCCTCCGCCGTCGCTGACTGTCGCGGCCATTGTTAAGACAGCGTTGGTGAAAAGTCACGCGATGTCAGGTCATGCAGTGTCATGTCATGTTGTCAGGCGCGGTCTTTGAACTCGGGTCCCAGGATGCGAAGTCCGACGTCCTGCCAAACGCCAACCCAGGCACGTGCCTACTGCAGCAATGCTAAGCCATCCCGCATATTTTGTTGTGTCATTTATATTGTTTTATCACCGGGACGAGTCATCATCGAAGGTGGCAAAACTGCAAAGCGCGTTGTCAGGTTCCATCACCCTCAACATCTTCCTGTCAAAGACGATCAGATATGCTCGAACAGGTCCCGGCGAATTCTTGTAGCACGACCTCATCATCAGGTGACCTTTGCGAGTGGACGACTCAGCCCTAGCGTTTTCCGCAGCTCTTTTCACCCGAACGCCTCCAGCAGCAGTGCAGCGGTACGCTGCCGCCGTCATCCCGCGCTGGCAAAGCCAGCCAATCGAAACCGATTAACCAATCGAAACCGAAGCCGATGAAAACGAAGTGATAAACCGACCTTGTCGAAATCTGTGTCGAAGTCGATGAACCGAGCTGCACGTGGCACACGCTTTGAAATGTGTCTGGACAACGCGCCAGTCTGAAACAGCGCATCTTTACTCCTCCAGCGGTACCGACTGGGCTAAGCTGTGCCGACTGCGCGAAAGAAGAGATGCCGACTGCACCAGAGCTGTGCCGACTGCTCCAAAATGGTGTTGACTGCACCAGAACTGTGCCGACTGCGCCAAAATGGCATCGCCTGATCCCAAGCTGTGCCGACTGCGCCAAAAGGGTGCCGACCCTGCGCCAATGCCGTGCCGTGCTGCGCCAAAAGGGTACCAACTGCGCCAAAGCTGTGCCGGCTGCGCTGAAGTGACACGATGTGCGGCCAAGCGAGCCGCGAACTGGCGAATCGACAACCGTGCAAAACTAACCGCCCCGGTGTGGCCGTCAGCCGGCCTCGTGCCGAGTGCGAACAGCCCCGCTGGGAATCGCAAGAGCCTGTTCGCGTCCCACGCCAGGCACAGGCTGCGACCTTTGCCGGCGGCGTGGGCCCGCCGTATTCCGCATGTACCGCCCGGGTCAGCGCCGCAGGTGCATCGCATGACCCCCGGACGCCCGGGGGCGATTCTGCGGACTCGTCGGTGTCGGTTAGGTTGAGAGGGCGTGCGGGGATGGGTGGCATCTCGGGGCGTTTATGGTGTGACTGTTTCTTGCGTGTTGTGTTTGTGCGGTGTACGGTTGGGGTGTTGGTGTGGTTTCTGTGAGGGATTTGTGGGGCCCGATGGATTGTTTGTGTGGGTCCAATAGGGTGATTGTGTGGGTCCGATGGGGTGATTGTGTGGGTCTGATGGGGGTGTTTGTGTAGGTCTGATATGATGTTTATGCGGGTCTCACTGGATAACCGAATGCTCACGGACCGTCGGTCTGGTGACTCCGGAGCAGCCCGCTGATCGTGCACAACCACGACGGCAACTGTGAGCACTCGCGTTCCACCACCCACGCCTGTCTTCAAAAGAAAGAGGGGGGGGGGAGTATGGTATCTCCCCTGCCCAAAACGATCTCCCACACGCGGCTCGGACGCTGCCCGACCGGCGCGTCCGCCGCCGCCGCCGCCGCCGCCGCCGCCGCCGCCGCCCCTGCGGCGAGAGCGTCCGCCATGCAGGCGGCAGGCCGGGAAGCCGCCGCCGCCGCCGCTGATATTCACATTCCCGGCGGACGCCGGGCACGTGGGCAAGAGCGGCGGGTGTACGAGGAACCGGTGCCTGGCGGCGGCCGTCGGCCGTCACCGCCGTATTGACCCGTGTGATCCGCTCCACTGCCGGGATTACCAGCGGGGCTCGAGCCGGTGATATGGGGCATCGGACCCCGGACCCGCATGGCGAGAGTCGCGAACTCGTGGAGTGGAGTGGAGTGGAGTGGAGTGGGATGGAGTGGATTTTAGGGGATTGGAGTGGCGTGGAGTGGGTTGGAGTTGAGTGGATTGCAGTGGCGTGGAATGGAGTGGAGTGGAGCGGAGCGGAGCGGAGGGCAAGTGAATGAAATAGAATGGAGTAGAACGAACCTGAGCGGAGTGGGATGGCGCAGAGCCGAACAGGGCGAGTTGAGATAGAGGGAAGTGAAATGGGACGGAGTGGATAGGCTTGGGTACGGTGGCTTAGGGCGGGCAAGAGACGCGGTCGAGGTTTGGACGTGTTTACGGAAGTTGCGGGTGCGCGTTGCGTGGTTATGCTGTGGCTTTTTGCCATATCGTGGTATTGCGCAACGCATTAAGGCCCCGCACAAACAGGTGGCCTCTTGTGATCTCGCATCGGTAATGATAAGACTAGCCCTACAGTGCTCGGATTAGCCGTACGGTGCTCGCGATTAGCACCTCCGTGCTGATGATTGGCCTCTCGGTGCTAGTGGTTTGCTGCGCGATGCTGGTGGTTAGCCACACGATGCTTGTGGTTAGCCACACGAGGCTGGTGAGGGCCGCTGCTTTTCGCGGATGTGATGCCAACTCGGTGGCCTGCTATTCCGAGAACTTCAAACTGTTTAACGGAAAAAGCGCGGAAATAGAAGCTGGGTGCCTTTTAGGGTCCTAATAAAACGG